GCGTCTGCATGTTTTAAAGAGTACAAACACATTTGATGGACTTCCTCAACCTTAAATGTCCGATGTTTTGGTATCATTCATGCGAAGGGAGAAAAATCAGCTTTTTTTTAATGTTCTTTCTCTAGTCTTTTTTTTTTTTTTTTTTTTTTTGCCGCAGTGATCACATTTTCACCCACCTTTCAAAAAGTTCTAAAACGTACTTTCTTTTTAAATGAACGGTGCCAAATGGTTTTACTAGTAGTTTTTCTCGTGTTTTTGTAATTTACTAGTCTATAGATTCAGTTGCTATTTTCGTACACGGTGACGTTCAGTTCTGACGGACAAGTTGTAGCAACAAAACTCAAGACAATGAAGACAAAACCATGTTAGGATCATTCTATGTAGGGGACAAAACAGTTCTCTCAATTTTAATAAATGATCAGGAAAAGTTGTTTCTTTCTAGATTTACAGAAAACAACGTACAGGCCAGCAGACTTAACACCTATAAATTAAATGGAGCGTTGCCTGCCCTGTTCACACATTTTAAGATATTCCAGACTTGAACTTGGCTGAATTAACTCTGAGTTAACTGCTCAGTATGATGCAGACATCAACATTCAGGCATTCAGCCCTGCAGAAACAAATACCTGTAACTTTCCAGGGCTGCAGTGCACATCTGAAGATGTCTGTAGTATTCATTCAGTCTGGTTTTAACCCACAGGTTTACAACACAGAAAGATAATTATATCAAATTGGTCAGAAAAAAGTAAGCAAACTCTGTTGAACAAAAAGAATCTTGTGCCTTTCATTTTATTGATCTTGCCTTTGTTACTCCATCATGAATATGTATGCCAAACGGGGGTCAGCTTCCCTGCCTCAGAAATGTCCTCTCCTCCCACCAGGATTTTCACAATAGTCAAAGTGCAGAACAGGGAAATAAAACTCAACTTTGAGTTGAGAACGCGTCAGCTTTACTTTTTTCATCTTGTTTTGTCTTTCTCCAGCTTAAACATTCCTTGTAGATGAACAGCTATGTCATTTTGCTTTTTTAAAAGTATAATAGAAGAAATAATCCCTTCTGATATTATCCAAAAATGTTAGGGTTTACAAGTATGTTTCAGATTTGCTCCACAAAGATAACTGGTCATTGTAAACCAAATACCATTGATCAGCACTGACTTGATTTACATTTCTTACACCTGTTCCCTGTCCTTCATTTCACCTCTCTCCTCTGTCCTTCTAACTCTCCTGTCTGTCCCCGATTTTAGCTAATGAGGCTCTGGGCCTGGCGTAAGGGTAAATGGGTATGTTGATTGGTTTGGCAATGGCCGGCCCTTGCCAGAGTCACTTTGCATGCACTGCCACCCCTCAAAAGCGCACACTTGGCTGAACTGCTATGCGTGTATGGGAGAGATGGATAGGACAAAAAATGGGGGAGGGAGGGTGGCAGAAAACTGGCAAAAAAAGAGGAAGAACGAGGAGAAAGGGGGCAGGGTGCTAAGACAGGAGTAACTAGACTTAGCCATTATTAACCAGCACAAGACTTAACTGAGATGTATTAAAGGGATCAAAGACATATTTAGGATAATTACAGATGTGTTAAAACCACTGTAATATACAAACAGAACTGGAAGGTTGTTTAATTGCAGGTCAAGACAGTAGCAGGCTACCCAGCGACCCTGGAAAATTACTTTTACATTTTCTAGACAGGGAAAACTCAGGGAACTTGGACACTGACCTCCTGATATTCTAGCATCATTGAGTTTTATAGTGCACATAGTGCATGCATTCTTACCGATTGGCTATAGTGGCTTTTTAGTATCTGATGTTGTACAATAACATAATTAATTATAAGAAATTATTGCCATATGCACATACCACAGGCTACAGCATCTCACTGTCATCTCTGAAGCTGACCCTGCCCGACACTCAAGATGCTAAGATCTGAGCATTTCATGTGGCTGAAATATCTCCTGAAATTTCAGAATTTACTCAGAGAAAAATTAAGGAACATTCAGGGAATTGTTTTCATGATTTGTTGGGAACCCTGAGTAAGATTACCAAACAAAGACCATTTCTGGCTATTTTACTATCTAGAAATAAATTACTCCGATACATCGGTTAAATGTTGCCTGAGCTACAGTTTTAAGCTCTTCTTAAGAACTCAACTGAAATGTTTCTCCCTATTTTGATGTATACTTCATTATTTTTCTTGTGTTTTTAGTTATCTGGAAGAAAACCAGAAGAATTTTGAACAACAGAAAATGGCTAAAACACTTTAAATGTCACAAATGAGTAATGCTGATGTTTCACAAGGTGACAGTACATATAAGTGTGGGTTACAAGACTTGTTGCTTTCTCGGTTAGTCTTTTCCTCCTCTCCAGTCCATGTACTTTTTTCTTTGATGCCCTGTACTCACTGAGATTACTAAACCACTAGACCTCATGAAAGGAAACAGCATAATTAAACACTACATCTGAACCCTTTGAATCTTCTGTAAATTTAGTTGTAAAGTTATCTTTGATGCATTGACTTTCAAAGCATATTGCTCATAAGACACTTAATAAATTGTGGGAAGACAGCTTTGGTCTTTACACACCAAATGAAACTATAGTAAATACTCTTCTGTCTTGGAGTAAACCATAATGACACGTTGTAAGATTTTGTGTACCCTCTACACATGTGTACATGTAGAGTTAATGCGCTGGTTAATGTCTTCAAAACGCAAAAGAAATTGCAATGTCCTTTTTATGTAACGGCTTGCTGTTTTAGGAAGCGAGATCTTTTGTACTGTAAACCAGGCAGTAAGAGGAGATGTGTTATAAGGCGAGGCTTCAGACATGTTGTGGTGGGGCAGATAAGTAATCCAGATGTGTCCTACCCCTAGGACTAGGTCGATATATACTGTATATTTTCTTTGTGCCCTTCCCGGTCACTGTGAGAAGCTTAGATGAATGTTGGGGGAAGGGGATGATCGGAATTGGAAGCAGTGGTTGGAAAGCCCACCGTCTGAATCATGTATGAGACGCAAGTGTTGGATACATGGTGACCTTTTTGACAGGCAGCAGTGCGCTAATGATCTGTGTGTCATGCTGGGCTTATAGATGGGAACTAACATATGATAATGATAGTAACCCTCCCCCTACATAATTGCACTGACTACTGAGCAACAACACAGGCTGAAATATCCCTAGTTGCAGCAATTGTGATTTCCAAATTGTTTGATCATCTTTCATGATGGTGGGGTCTAACCATCTTTGTCAGGGGTTGCTGTTTATCATTGCTGTCCCATGGGACTATAAACGCTGTAACATTGTTGTGATGGGTTGGTGTTGCAGTGGAGGAGGGTAAGTGTGATTGAGATATGCTGCTGTCAGCAGAAGCAGGCAAGCAAGCAAGGATCGATGTGGGATATAAGAGCAGGGAGACGACAAAGCATGCGGGTCTGTTTTTGCAAGCCCGTGCAGCTATTTTGAAACGCCCATTCATGCACACACGTGAGGGAGATGAGCCGGCCCCTTCGAAGGGCAGGCAAGGTGAAATACAATACAGAATGGTGAATGAATGAGAAAACACTGAAGAGATTCACTTTGTATGCAAGCTTGATTGTTAAGGCTCGTTCTTTTTCCACAAACAATTAAATGTTTATATTTATGACTGAATGAACCACCATTTATAATTTGAGCTTGCTGAATTACCATCTGGACAAAGCTTGCCATTGAGAAAGAACTGATCGATTGATTTTTTTTGTTTGTTTGTTTATTTTGTTGGTATATTCAGGAAGTAATCTGGCATATTTTTCTCTATATTATGGTGCTATGGCAATTCCAAAAAAAGCAGCCCCCAGTCCATACCACTGCCCCCACTGGGCTGTAAAGTGTGAACTACACATCATCATCACACATCCACATATCTGCTGTGCCTCTCGCCTTCATCCACAGGTCACTCTGGAACAGAACCTTTTGACAAAGGTCCAGCATCCAATATTTTTGCTCCCTGGCAAAAAAAAAAAAAAAAAAAAAACCATAATTGCCGGTCTATAGAACGCACCCAAATGTAAACTGTGCACACTAAATAAAAAATAATAATAATTTGAACATAAATAAGCCACACTTGTGTTCACGTTGTAACATGAGTGGCAGCACATAGCTACTGAACGATATGTGCAGCTCTTGTTGTAGATCAAGACTCAACCACCAGGTGGCGTTTCACAGACTTTATTTTGCTTTTCAACACAAACCGACAGACACCTCTCCCTCACTCATGGTTACTCTACTGAATGGCCTAACACAAACCAACACATAATGAACACATCAACTAAGCTAACGAGAACTGACTAATCACTAGAAACTAATGCTAAACAGCTAACTGAAATGATTAATAATGAACATAAATTTTACCCATAATCCCATCCTGAGGCCATGTGACTGGCAGTCAACCACAATGAACCAATGAGGTACTCATTAAGTCATAAGGACCCACCCCCCAAGAGAGACGTGTATTGGGCAGTTATATGAGCGCTCAGATGTGATGAGGCTAAATGTTTTTGGTGGCATGAAGCTCGTTAGCGCGTCAAAAAAAAAAACAACATGAATTAGCTATAACATTGTATTAGCTGCAGGGTTCAAAGCCTGTGAAAAACGTAGACTGGAAAGTACGGTACTAGTTATCCGGTCATACTCATTCAATATTCTTTAGTTTATTTTTTGTTTCACAGCATACCTTTTTTTATGACTGGAGAATATGTCGCTCCTACGTGGTTGTTAAACAAACAAGAAGCTGCTCACTACATCAATTAAATGTATTGTTTTCATCTGAAATGTAAATTATTACAGTGATTTTCTTACTGGAGGCTCCTACTGATTTGTGTGATTGTTTCTTGTGGTGATAGATACTGCCAACCAGTTTCTATGGTCATCGACATGTTTGTTTTACTCACACACCTACTTTTGAGAATGCAAATTATTGTCATTGACAAACCAGAAGTGACTAAGTGTAGTTTCCTCTTTCCCTCCTACAGATGACAGATTTGTCTGCTAAACACCTCTCTGAAGAAACTTCACTTAAAGATTCATCTGGAAGAACACAAGATAAACTTGAAAGAGAAAACAGCTTTTAATACTTGTCTCTATTGACTGTCACACAAATGTGGAGCCCTAAATGCTCTGTTATCAAATAATCTGGATACCAGAACAAACAGAATTGATCCATTACACAGAACTTTGTAGCCATGTCTGAACATAAAGACATGACACACCGCCACTTAAGGCACAAGCTACAGAGTCTCGGCAGAAGACTGGATGAACTGGAAGAAGCAACCAACAAGTTGCAGAAATCAGAGGATGAGCTGCTTGACCTGCAGGTTAGTACTTTAGTACTAGCTGACCTCTGACGTATTGTTTGTTTGTGTGTAATTCAGAGACAATGAGCGGCCTTGTCTGATTTACAGAGCATAAATACTTTTATAAACTCCCTTTTATAGGACAAGGTCATCCAGGCAGAAGGCAGCAACTCATCACTTCTTGGTGATGTGGAGTCCCTGAGGAAGCGTCTCTTGAAGATCCAGGGTAAAGATGAAGAGGTACGCAAAGCTGAGGACCTGTGTCGCACAGTTAGAGAAAAACTGGAAGAAGAGGAGAATCTCACAAAGGAGCTAAAGGCGGAGATTGAGCGTCTGCAGAGGAGGATGGCTGAACTGGAGAAACTGGAAGAAGCTTTTGCTAAAAGTAAGTCTGATTGTAGCCAGCTCTGCCTTAGCCTCAACGAGGAGAAGAACTTAACTAAGAAGCTCTCTTCTGATTTGGAAACACTCAAAGCACGTTTAAAGGAAGTGGAAGGTTCTGAGACAAAGCTGGAAAAAGCAGAGCAGACCTTGGCTATGGAGCTTGAGACACTAAAGGGATTCACTCAGGCCTTTGTCTGTGAGCGCAAACGACTTTTAGAAAAACAAAAGGAGGATGAGAAGATCATTATAAAGCTGACAGAAGAAAAAAAGAAATGGCTCGGTATGTCGGCAGACCCCAGTCAGCCAGATTTTATAAGTTCAAGAATTGAGGATGAGTTGTCATCGTCTGTATTTCTCACAAATAAACTGACCGGATACAAGAAAAACATTGATTCCTTCAAACTGGCAGATGATGGCATTGTCAGCAAGTCTGACAGTAAGAAGAACAGCAGCGTTGAGGAGGAAGACAACAAAGTCAAGGAGTTGACGCAAGAGCTAGAGAGGCTGAAGAACCGCCTTAAACAGCTGGAGATTGTGGAGGAGGATTTGAAGTCCTCCGAGTTCAAAAATGGAGAACTTCACGAAAAGTTCCAGATGGAACGAAATCGAGCTCGTCAGCTGAGCGAGCAGGTGGAGCAGCTAAAGACGCAGCTGTGCGTAAAAGGTGGGGTTGGAGGAAATGGAATTGGCAACCTGGATAAACATGGCAATGGCAGCACTGTCAGTCCTACGAAGTTCTTGGAGAACGGTAAAGCAGAGAACGAGGAGCTAACTGTGAAGGCAAGTTTCAGACAAGAAAAGCCTAAAAATAGAAATACAGCAGCAGCTTCAGAACCGAGCTCTCCTAAGCACAGTAACCGGGAGCTCCTGTCTCAGTATAAGCGAGAAACCAAAACAAGGAGCAAAGAGTTGAGCAATTCCAAGGATAGCTCTCCGAATTCTGTGAGGAGAGCTTTCAGTCCTGCTATGAAAAGCAAAAGGATGCCCAAAACCCCTGCTGCTACAATTTCATCTGATAATGGAATACAAGACACAGCACGAGTCACTGAGGAAAAGACTAGGGGAGCCACGTACAGCTCAGTAAACTCCACTTCTACTGATGTTAAAAAGTTGTCTGTTCTGAGTCGATACCCTCCAGCAGCCAATGACCAGAAGTCACATAGAATAGGGCACAAACTGGCTGATGGGGAGAATAAAAGTAGTAGAGAGAGGTTTTCAAAACTATATGCAGGTAGTGACAGTGAGTCAAACTGCTCTGATGCGGTGCCTGAAGGCTCCACCAGCATGAACAGTGTCTCTGCACTTGAGAAGGAGATAGCTTCTGCCTCTGATCAGGACTCTGTTGACCAGGTTCAGGAACCGGTGTCTGTGTCTGTGGCATCCACCTTGTCCAAAACCAACGGCTCATACACCGCCTACAGATCTCGCATCACTCCAGTGCTGCCCAGTGATCAGGGGTCAGACAGTCATTCCTCTGCTTCTGAAACAGAATCCAATAGCTCGAGGCCGTCAGAAGTGGAACGTGCAACTGAGGCGAGCACAACTAAAAGCAGTAGGACTGCACCTTCCAGGTATACGAGATACCCTCATGTCCACGACTCTCATTCGGAGGGGTCTTCTTCCAGGAGCTCATTTGACGAGGAGTTGCACAGTAGGCCACAGTTCTCAGAAGGAGGCCACCATACCCCATCAGCAGCTGAGATCCAGAGAGTGTGCAGCCCACGAGAGGCACTGAGGTCAAAAGCAATCATCCAGCCTGCCATTGTTGAGATTGACAGAAAGGAAGTGATGATTTCAGAATCATATCCTAATAATGGCAAACCCAAGATCTCCACTAAGCCGGCTACCACCCCTAGTAAAATGACCAGTAGTATAACCATCTACCCCAATGACCCGGGCTCCTCCAGAGCAAGCAGTCGCAGCAGCAGCTTGTCCAGCGAACCAATGTCCGTCAAAGAACGCCATACATCTACCAGTAACATCCTTATAGGTAAGGTTCCTGGCAGCGCTTCTATTTGTTCTCAGTTAAGCAAAATGTTGAAAAAGTGGCACATCACTATTTTAGTCAAATATCCTTCTTTTTGTGCGGTATTTCAATTTTATTCAACTGATAAACATGTCGCAGAGTTGATTAGTTTATTAAGGTTGTACAGTCTTCGTTTTTTTCATGAGTTATCAAGAATCATAATATTTTAATTGTTAAACTTATTTTGGCTGTCTTGTAACTTTTTTCCTGAACAGAAGAGGCTTTTTGACTTTAGCTGCTCAAATTTTTAGACTTATCAAAAACATGTTAAGTCAATACTAAAAACATGTTCTAACTAAGACTTTTTAGTTTTGCAAAACAAAAGTTAAAATTGCTCTTTTTTTGTTTGTTTTATCTGTCATGGCAAGTAATTTCTACTTTTGATATTTGTCTTATTGATGTTCATTTGCAGCTTTTTGACATAAAGCATACCTCTACTAGTGCACCAGCAACCGTTTCTGCTTTTGATTGGGAAAAAAAAAAATACAGCAAATATTGCAAACATAAAATATTAAGCAATAGAAAATAAATTCTGAACACCTTACATTAGTTTCCTGAAGTTAAAAGATATAGCAAAGTTTTTTTTTTTTTTTATTGGTTCCAAGCCACTTTAATACTTATACTTTTACACTTATGAACATATATATATATATATATATATATATATATATATAACTTTCCACCATTTGTTTTAACTATACATTTTCCTTCAAATAATAATAAAAAAGACTAATGCTCTAATGCTATAGAAACTTTGTTCCTCATTTTTGGTCCACTTATGGTTTGTTATGCATAAAACTGGATTTTTAAAATTACTACATTTTAATATGAAAATGCATACGATAGTACTAACAAATATTGTTCTTATAATGTCTAATAAGTTAATAATGTTTTTTTTCCCTCTAAATTTATACACACTTTACAGAAGTTTTTGGTTACATTCAATGGTAATATAAATGCCCTGAATTCAATAAAACATTAAAGATGATGCATTATGGATTATATTTGCTATCAGTAAAAGTGATTAATCTTGATTTTGCTGATTGCTAGGAGGCTCCAGCAGTGACCACTATGGCAGCATTTCTGTTCCATATGAGATTTCGATACCCAAGAGTGATATCACGTTGCATTCATGCCAAGACCAGGACTGTGGAGCAGACAACCACTGCGACACCGTGTCAAGGTCCAAACTCCACAACTCTTCCATGGTGGAGACCACCACCAGCCACATGAACTGTCAGCGCAGCAGCTTCAGCCTCCAGTCTGTGGACTCCATCTCCTCAGACTTCAACGACACAGAATCGGGCTTCGAGAGCAGCAGCAGTAGCATGACCACGGTCACCAGCTGGAGAAGCCAAAGACAGAACCAGAACTCCCAGGAAGACAGTTTACCAGACATGAAGAATGTGACGGTGAGAAGCACGTGGAGGAATAGGGTTGCCATGTCTGTGGATGATTCGAGTCCAGGACGAGTGGGTACCAAGGCGCTGACAGATGGTGGGTCTGAAGATGAAGCGGAAGCTGCTACAACATGGAGAGCGTATCGAGCTACTACTTTTGACTCGGAAGAAACTGTAAACCCTGAAAGTGGAGCTGGTAGGAGCACATTGTCACAGAAGGGAGCCAAGCCATCTCCTGCAGAGGTGAGAAAATGAAAAGGAAGAACGCACATTTCTAATGCAAATACTCAAACTCTTCTTCTTTCTTCTTCTTCTTTCGACGTTCCCCTCTTCAGGGGTCTCCACAGCGAGTCATCCTCCATCTCCCTCTGTCCTCTGCATCCTCTGTCCTCACTCCAACTACCCCCATGTCCTCTCTAACTTCTTCCATATATCTCCTCTTTGTCTTTTTCCTGGCAGCTGCATTTCTAACATCCTTCTACCAATATACCCACTGTCCCTCCTCTGGACATGTCCAAACCACTGTCCCTTCTCTGGACATGTCCAAACCACTGTCCCTTCTCTAGGCATCTCCAAATCACTGTCCCTTCTCTGGACATGTCCAAACCATCTAATTCGATCTTTATTTAGACAAGGGGCGGCTGTGGCTGAGTGGTTAGAGCAGTCGTCCTCCATTGCAAGAGTTGGGGGTTCGAATCCACCAGCAGTCATATGCCGAAGTGCCCCTGGGAAAGACACTGAACCCCTCATTGTCTCCGATGTGCGTCCCATTGGTGTATGAATGTGATAAAAGCACTGATTAGTCTCCTTAGATTGATTTGTTCAATTAGCTTTGTAGAGATCTAGTAGAGTGCTGTATGAATGGGTAAATGAGGCACAGATTTTAGTGTAAAGCACTTTGAGTATCTCGATAAGATAGAAAGGCGCCATATAAATACAGTCCATTTACCATTTCATTTACAAGTTAGTCTCAATGAGTCGCAAGGACTCATTTACAAGACAGACCTGATTTGAACAAAGAACACAGATGAGGTACAGACAATAACCATCTCAGTGTGTCCTCTCTAACTTTATCTCCCATTTGTTCAACCTGTGCTGTACTTCTGATGATCTCATTCATAATCTTATCCATCTTTTTCACTCCTAAAGAGAACCTCAACATCTTCAATTCTGCCACTTCCAGTTCTTTCTCCTGTATTTTTGTCCATGTCTCTGTCTCCAGACCATACAACATAGCTGGTCTCACCACTGTCTTGTAAAATTTTCCTTTGACCTTTGCTGACACCCTTTTGTCACAAATCACTCCTGAAACTTTTCTCCATCCACTCCATCCTGCCTGGACTCTCTTCTTCACCTCTTCACCACACTCCCCATTTTCCTGGGCAGTGGACCCCAAGTCCTTGAAGACCTGAACCTTTGTGACCTCTGCTCCTTGTAGCCTCACTGTTCCACCTCCTCCCTCTCATTCACGCACATGTACTCTGTCTTACTACGGCTGACTTTCATTCCTCTTCTTTCAAGTGCATACTTCCACCTGTTCCCTGTTCTCACCACAGATCACAATGTCATCTGCAAACATCATCGTCCACGGGGAAAAATCCACATATTCAAATAATCAAAGTAAATGCTTCTTTGTTGCTTCTTGTGTTCCTCTCTGTCTTAGTTGTACATGCGTAAGATAAACAGTTCTGCCACGAACACTAAAGAAACGGAGGAACCAATGTTTCGACGAAGCAGAAGCTCTCAGTCCCCAACTATGGAAACAGGAGGACTGGGAAGAACTGTCCCCCATGCACCTGTTACCTCTCAGTCCTGGAACCGATCATACTCCATGCAAACACAGGTAGGAAGGCTGACTTCAGGTTTAGGCACTTTTCCACAGGCAGGATTAATTATTATCACCAGTTGCCTTGAAAGGCTGCCACAGCTAAATGACCTTAGCAAACATAGAAGTAGCTATAACTCTTGTCACTTTAATATATATATTGAGCTAATATTTGGTGTTGTAATTGCTGAGACTCATCTCCAACACACTTCGAGCACAAGCTCTTTGACATGCAAGGCATTAGCGTTCCTTCTAGAAATGCAACTGTTACATTAATTTTCAGCTCTATTGCTACTGTAGTCACTTCTTTACTGATGCAGTTTACTTAACTCCATTAACATGACACATGTTTCTTATTACTGATTTATTTTATTTTGAATGTAATTATTTTGGGTTCTTTGGTAAATAACATTTTTAAGCAAATATGCTGCTTATCCATTTTGTCCTTGTATACCAGGACTATTCAACTAAATAGTTCAGGGCGCCACAGTTACTCAAAGCCAAGAGCTCAGGGGCTGGACATCCAGCACTTATTCCCATTAAGGTTGTTTTACGATTTAAAATCTAGTTTTATTTAAAAGTGAACCCAATGGTGGGCTGAACTGAGCACAATCATGTGCCTGACTTGGCCCCCGGACCGGCAGTTGAATAACCATGTTATAAACAACATGCTTCCACCATGACCATTGCTTACATTTAATATTGACTTTAAACTCTAAAAAGTTTAACTATTTTTCTCAGGTGACATTATTAAATTTTAATCTGAAGGACTGCGTTGGTTCAGCTGCAGCACTGAGCCCAGTTTGTATTCCCCCCTCGCACCAGCCTCAGACTTCAACACTAGCACAGCATTTTTGCAGGCTTCACTCTCGCTGCTGCGGTGAGCACACAGGCAGAGAGGGTGGGTCAAGATCCAGAGAGGAAGGAAACAGGAAAGGAAAAAGACCAGTTGTGAGAAAAGAACATGAGAAAAAACCTCAAGGAGAGGAAAATTACATTCTTGTCTTTAAAATGGCCATGCCATTCTTGTGTTAACATTCTCAGGTTGGGTTGCTGTTACTGTCTGACTCCTCTGACACGCTTTGATTTTACTGATAGAATGGTTTAATGAAGTACAGCTGGAGGGTAGAGTTGCATTCAGGTCCAAAAAATCCGACCTGACCCGGCCCAAGCCCGTAGACATGATTTCCGAACCCCACCCGATCCGACAAATTAACAGTAATTACATGTACGAACCCCCCTCCCCCCAACATTTTTAATTAAGCTTTGACTACTTATATAGTTATTAACGGTTGGCGAACACGCACGGCTGAGTAAAGGGGCAGAAGATCAGAGCTGAGGGGGTGTTTGTCCTTTCATGGCCGTCACAGCGCATCAAATCCCTGCTTCTGCTGCATTCTGCTTTATTCAGACAAGAATCCTGCTCTGACATGTCTGCTTTGGGATCTCACCTGTTTGGGTCATCGGCCGTGCGCGTCCACTGAGTGCAGTGGCTGAATGAACGTCCATTTGGGCTGATGGATCGCTGCCTGGCTGTATAGTCCCACCTGAAGCTTAACTGAACTTTATTTTACCTCTTTCAAGGCTGGTCAGTTTGCGGTGAAATGGCCGCGTGCGGCTGCTGAAGGTATGACAAGTCATGTTGTCAAATAATTGGATCGCGGCTGATCTGTTGACGCAATCAAAAACTCGACACTGACCTGGCCTGCCCATCTAGCACATTATCATGGCCCAGCCCGCCCCGAATACGGGTTGGATCGGGCCGGGCTTCGGACCCGGGTTAGAAATGACAGTTTACTGTATAATAATTTGTCATCTGACATATAATGTGTCATATGGGGCACTCTTATTGAGCTACAACCATTTCCTAAACATATTTCTAAATTCAAAACCAAACAAAATACGTTTATTACACAACAATATATATTAAAAAAAATTTACATCTTTGTACTTTTTTTTACTTTAACTTGCTTTATTTTATATGGACACTATTTTTCTGTTGATTAGTTTGATTGAACTGAATAAAGTTATTGATGTTTTTTTTCTTAGATGCGCTTCCATTACACAAAAAAATACTACACTGGCAATATTTTGAAGGAATGCACATCACCCTCCACCACCCGCATGACAAAGTTTATAAAAAGATCTTGTGAGATCTGTTAGTGTGGTGGGAATGACTCTCAGCTACTACCAGGCCAGATTTGGGCTTATTTTCTGCTAAACTGAGTTATATCCTCTCTGATCCACCACATGATCTTCCTTGGTCTGTTTTCAGTCCATAGACATTGATCTCATAGATGTCACCCGCGGTAGCCCCGATGCCCTGAACTTCAGCTTCTCTGATGTGGTATTTTAGCACCGACCTGTCTGGTTGTCACCCCGTATGTGTTTTGTTTTTATTACTGGAGTTCCCTCAAGCCACTCGGTTGACTTTGTGGCGCAATGAAAACTTTGGTTGATCCTGATGCTTGAAGCATGAACAGATCACTTGGTTTGGATAGCAATTATGAGCAAAAAAAAGTACCACAAAACATTAAAACAATCCTTGAAAACATAAATGGACTTTGAAGAGTATCTTGGAGCAGAGCCTGTCGTCTTTGGTTTGGATTTTGAGAACATTTCGGTGGTCTGGACGGCGTCCACTTCCAGGAAGATTGAACAAATACAGCTGCAGTGGGGTTGGTGGAAGTCACAATCAGTTGGTGATCAGTGTATAAAATGTTGATAGAAGCTTGTGTTGGAGAAAACCAAGGTACCTGAAACTTAAAAACATCTTCATGGATACGTGTTTATCCGTTTTTCTGATTTTTGGCCAAACTATGACTTCACAGTCAAAGTTCACACGTGTTTTAGTTTTCATTCTCTTTGAGCATTAAAAAAGAGGAAGCACATGAAAATTCTTAATGATTGTTTTTCCTGGAGATCAGCATCTCATCTGTCAAGTCGGACCTTAAGTCAGCTTACCGTGGATCACAAAGTCACCATCAGTCGATGGATAATCATCAAGGAGGAGACAACTCTCTGAATGACTCTGAAGTCAGCTAGTTGTCCTGATAAACTATTGATTCACGTTCTTCTCATTCATGAATGATTCAGACCCTTTAATAAAAGAGACAATGCAGTGAAATTTCATTATGTAGCTGCTGCTATGTACAAACCGGATTCCAAAAAAGTTGGGACACTAAACAAATTGTGAATAAAAACTGAATGCAATGATGTGGAGATGGCAAATGTCAATATTTTATTCGTAATATAACATAGATGACAGATCAAAAGTTTAATCTGAGTAAATGTAACATTTTAAAGGAAAAATATGTTGATTCAAAATTTCACAGTGTCAACAAATC